CGACACTTGTGTGTGTGGTTCTCTGTGTGCCACACACACACACACACACACACACACACACAGAGAGAGAGAGAGAGAGAGAGAGAGAGAGAGAGAGAGAGAGAGAGAGAGAGAGAGTTCAGCCCCTTTAACCACTGGGTTATCGGAGATTCAGGGCACGACACTTGTGTGTGTGGTTCTCTGTGTGCCACACACACACACACACACACACACACACAGAGAGAGAGAGAGAGAGAGAGAGAGAGAGAGAGAGAGAGAGAGAGAGAGAGAGAGAGAGAGAGAGCTCAGGCTCTTTAACCACTGGGTTATCAGAGATTCAGAGCACAACACGTGTGTGTGTGGTTCTCTGTGTGCCACCGAGAGAGAGAGAGAGAGAGAGAGAGAGAGAGAGAGAGAGAGAGAGAGGGAGGGAGGTTGGATACTCACAAGAGATGACAAGGGGAACAATTCCAAGATTGCCCTTTTGGAGTCCTTTCCTACAGGTGGGTTACAGAATCCAATATCAGAACAGTTCTCTGGAATCTCTGCGCGAATGTGACTCAGCGGAATTGCTGTCAGACTCCAATATCTTTTCAAGTCTGGCGCTAATCGTGATGATGACAAGAGATGCTGTCAGATTTTTGTCCGCTTGGGAGATTGTAGGAGTTAGTTTTGTATTGAATCGAGGAGGAATTCGTGTTAATTTTTGTAGCAATGATTCGTGTAAATTGTGCGTCTATTTGAGGAGGAATTTGTGTAAATTTTGTTGCAATTCTTGAACCAATAGGAGTGTGTACTTTTTTTTCTTTCGGGGTGTTCGTTTATTTGAGATTGTAGATCCATCTGGATTCGAACTCAGGTCTGTACATTGTGGGAAGTTAGTTTTCCGTTGAATCGAGGAGGAATCAGTGTATTTTTTCTTGACTCAATAGGAGTCTGTATGTTTCTTTTTTGGGGTAACTTCGGCGCAGTCACGAAAACAGTTTGTAATTGCACTTCAGGCATTCCCGCGAATACAACACACCCCCACGCGACCCCACCGGACCCGAAACGTGGGTCATATGCATTCAGCATTACCGGCCCTTTTGCCTCAAGTGCAATTACAAACTCAAACCCTGACTGCGCCGTAGTTTTCTCTTCTTTTTTTTTTCATTGCGATTCTAGATCCATCTGGATTCGAACTCAGATCTGTATTTCAACAGTTCCTGACGCATGTGCAGGAGGGGAAAAGGATTTNTTTTTTTTTTTTCTAATTGAGATTCTAGATCTATCTGGAGGCGAACTCAGGTCTGTATTTCAACAGTTCATGTCGCATGTCGAGGAGGCGAATAAGTCCGTCAAGGGAGATCTGGACCAATAACACGCGTGGGATTTTGGGGACTGCGAGTTTTTAGGTTTGGGGTGACCCGGAATTAGTAAGACTGTAACACCTCTCTGCTTGCATTGGTGGTCCCATTTTTTATTTTATTATTTTATTTTTCCAGGTTGTTATAGAGGTTGGATTCTGGCCATATGACAGTCTCCTTTGGCCATCAGCCATGTAGTTATCCAGATGTTCTTCTGCGTCTGGAGGAAATGACGAGTTCGAGAAAGATGCTGTAATCGGGAGTTTCGTATGATAACTATGGTTGTCTAGTTTATTCGTCTGACTACGGCTTCTTCCATCTGTAGTGCATGCGGAACTTATTTCTGGACGTGGAGTTGTGAGATCTTGACGTGGAGTTATGGGAGACGAATATTATGCTGGCGGAAAGGCCGGATGAGATGAACGATCACTGTATACACTTGCGTACTGGACGTATAGTTTTGGAAGGCGTAACGGCGAGCTGCACAGGTGTTGAGCGTGTCGTAGAGCTCAGCGGCATCTGCATATTGCAGCGCGGACAAGGAAACAAAAACACAAGAAAAGAACGTGAACACACTGAAAAAGAAGGGGAAAAAAAAGAAAAGAAAAGAAAAGACGAAACAAAATGGGGGACTGGAGGGGGGGCCCAGAGATTCGTCCAGATGGCATGGCCTCAGACCTGATGACCCCTGGCCAGCATCGCCCACCTGCTGGTGGGTGCAGCCACTGCATGTGCCCTCATCGGGACAAGATACTGACAACGATGTGGCTGCTACACTGGTTCCCGGAATACCGTCATGATAAATTGCAGACATAGGGCCTCGCTGCACTACTCTTGAAATGCACAAAAGACAAAAATCATGTAGCTGTATCTTTTCATGTTCTAGCGAAAGATTCACTCTCGTTTTGCACCTTTCAAGAGTAGTGCAGCGAGGCCCATACCCTGGTTTGCCCGTGTATTGTGACAATTTGTGACAAACATACCTCGAAGGTGCAGAAATACGGTTTTTGAAAAAAAAAAAAAAAAAAAAAAAAAAAAAAAAAAAAAGAGAAAAGTTTCTATGTTTCTATGTTTCTATGCAGGCTTAGGGCACAGTACCTTCGTTTGTAACTGAGTCCTGGCATGAGGAAAGCTCTCCAAGGCCGGCGAATTGCAGGAATACCCCAGGTTTGCCCGTGTATTTCGAAAGATATACCTGAAAGGTGCGGGAGGATCCAGCCCTCGAAAGGCCCCTTTGGGGCACACAGACGTGCTGGGTTCAACGCCCCAGCGAGCTTTGAGCCCGCCCTAAGTGAAGGCGGGCCTGCCGATTTGCATGAGGCCTATTTTTGCCATTCTCATATGTGGGGTATCAGACAGTTGCAGCACGCCAGTTGGTTACAAAGCAACCTGAGCCTTTTTTTTTTTCCGCTGCTTCCAGAAGAGGCAGCTTCGTGCCCCAGTTGAGCCCAGGGCTCAGGTGGTTGCGCCCTGGGCACACACAGTGAGAGGCCGACACATCACTCAGCGGCCGTGGACCAATGAGAATGCAGTATTGTAGTCACAGTACCACGAGCCAATGAGATGGTAGCAAACACTTGTAACCTGCTGAGCAACGGAATGTGCCCAACTGTAAAGGGCCCAGGCCCGTAACAGCAGCTGGGGCCTAGGTGCAGAAACTTTGGGCCAACTGAGCCCCACACGCCAGGCCCAGACCAGTCATGGCCAGGGCGCACTTTTTCATAAAGGAAATTGAGCACCCAGGGGCAAAGATTCTGGTCTAGGCAGGCATAGCGGCCACACTGCTGCATTCAATTTGCCGAGTACTGCTGCTGTGATAGCACAAGCCAGCCAGACGCACACACGGGCGCAGAGGTGAGAGGGGCGCTGCTGAGGCAGGGGGCGCACGGCGGCCATGGCCGGGCTGCTGGGCGCAAGCGCAGTGATTGCAATGGTGGTCTTCCGGTAGGAGGTGCATGTGGTGGTGAGACAGGGTGTGGTGAGGGGAGGAGAGAGACACATGCCTCATGCATGCTGGCGGTCTGCATTGGTGATGACGTCACGTACATTGGTCTTCGACTTTGATGTGATCACAAGAACGCATTTCAAACTAGGTACAGTCTATAGGAGTTTTTTGTGCTGTCTTTTGGGCTTTGCAATGCGCCGGGTACATCCCAGCACACCATGAATAAGGTATTTCATTACTTGGATAAGTTTATTGTGACTGTCGAGATGTATACGCAACACCTAGACCAAAGTATAAGAT